GACACCGTTGCGCACAATCTCCGTTTTCACTTCCTATGGCACAAAAAAAAAACAGAAAAGTAAATGCAATTTAGTTAAATAAATAAAAGCACTGTTTCCTCACCTTTTTCGGTGACAACGGCGCTGTGGGCGAACTCGTCGGCGTCACGATGCGCTTCCAACCGCTGCTTTTGCGCCAAGAGTTGACAGATCGCTGCTGCAATTTGTGCGCACTCACAGAACCACGACTCATACCACTACCTCCACTGCCGCCGCTACTGCCACTGCTGCTGGGACTGCCGCCAACACTTTCGCTGCGCACCACACGCGGCGGCCTGCCATTGTTGCCGTTTACGACCGTTGCACCGTTTCGCAGCAGTCCATTGAGACCATTTAGCTCGCTTTCGGTTTTGTGCATCATCGATTTAGATTTGACCATTGGATGCGCTGCCGCTGCAGCTACTACGGGTCTACGCAGTTCCGTGCGTATTATTGCTTCAATGCATTCTTGCTCGTTTAGCTTGTGCAATACCTCTGGTTCTAGTTGTATGTCTTCGATTTCGATATCACTGCTTTCGTTGCCACACAACTGTGTGTCCATCTCCTCTTCGATGCTGCCTTCGACTACACTGCTATTCAGTTCGTGTTGCGTCGCCGTGCAAGGCGAGTGTTCGTCTGATTCGCTGGATGAGCAGCTGGTCACTTGCGCACGTCCCGCTTCGCTTGGCGTTGGGCTGGGCGCTTTCAGTCTGTTGCCATTTAGCGTTGGCTTGCAGCGCAGGCGCACGCGTCGTTCAGACAGCCTGGACGCTGCATCCTCATCGTCGTCATCCTCATCGTCTGTCTCGCCTTCTATGTAGGAAAATAGACTGCGCGCCGAGGCAGAACGTATATCGACCAGCTTGTAGAACTCGTTGGTGAACTCAGTGCGCGCAATGTCTTCATCTTCGGAGTAAACGATCTGTGAAATAGAAAGAGTAGTGTGTAAGATTTGTGAACCTGTCGTACGCATGTACGCATATTCATTCACCTTTTGTTGCAACAATTGCGAGATCGCCTCTGACTCAGAGTCCGTTTCCGCCGTAGTAGAAGTTAGGAAATCATTCGAGTTCCATATCCAATCATTTTCACCGTTTGGCCTCCGGAGGTTTGTTATCAAACGCCCGCCGCGCAGGTTTTGATGCTCATCGTCCAGCGTCACTACGGGCAACTCCTCTTGCGACATGCTCCAGTCTTCCATTTCAGTCGAACACGGTTCGGCGGGTAACAGCCATTGCTCCGGCTCTTCTGGCAAATCTTCCAGATGCCCATTCGACGGCTGCGGCTGCCCACTGCTCATTGTACAATAACCTTCGTCGCGTCCCTTGGCAGGACTGGCTGAAAGCGCAGCGTTTTGCGCTTCCAAGTCGCGTACACGATTCTTAAGCATGGTGACCTCCTCGCGGAGTATATCTTCGGCGACAATGGCGTCCACCACTTTTCGCATAACATCGTCTAAACAGCGCTCATAGTGACGTATGCTACGTTTCAGCGTATAATTCTCCTGTTGCATAGAACGTAAGAGACTTTCTTGGTGGGTTATGCGGGTCTGCAAGCAGAAAAGATTGGGTTGGGATTAAAAAGTAATGTTTGAGGTGGGTCAAAATTATTTTAGTGGAAGAAAATAGCTTGGTGATTCATATAATGTCTGCAGTTATAGATTTGAACTTGTAAAAGACCATGTTTAGATTATAAGCGAACTGTGGAAAAATATCTTTGGCAAACAGGTATAACATTCGTCTCGATCTTGACGAAGAAAGATCACGTTTGAAGTACATGAAACGAAAACGATATCGGGGAAGTTTTTATTGAAGTTCACGGCTCTTTCGGCATTTGCCTTATATGATCTTGGCTGTTTTTGGTTTATCTGCGGGATAATTAGAATTTCAAATCCTGCCAATTCGCATTAGCTTAAGATACAACTACCGAACCTATCACCTAAAAAGATTAGTTTGTTAGAAGTTTAGCGGAGATTAAGTT